ACCACTTCTAATGATTTGCGATCAAGAATTTATTTATGCAACGATAGTCGAGAAGAAACTTTTTTTGCCTGTTCACATTTTCAAAAAAATATATTACAAAAATCCGGAGTTTGGAGTACGCTTACTTAAAGAATATATTGGACATTACAAAGTATATAGATTTTGTAATCGACAAAGAAGTTTGAATATAAGTGCTAGGAACAGTCCACAAAACATTATCCAAGAATACCAATGTATTTTGCATACATTAGCGAAGAAGAGATCGATGGAATTTGTGAACATTGTACAAAATGTAATTCAGACTGTGAATCTGTGTGATAAAATTGGTGTATTAAGCAAAAAATGTGCCAAAAAATTTTTGAGAAAAGCGAAAACCGCTGTGATTGGATACCCACATTTTTACATGCCTATGTTACCGTCTCAAATGATCAACGCTGAACTATTGGAAATGATGTTTCCGGGTTTAATGAAATTTTATTGCCGTCATTTCTTCTGTACAGATAAAATGCTTAAGTATTTAAAAGACTATCCGGAGGATAAAAGATTGGAGATACTTTTTAAAACATATAGGGATCTTTATCAACATGAACTTCTTGACAAAGTAGAAAACGTGACACCTGCTTTACTGAAAATATTACCTATCGAAAAAAGGATTAAGTTTACCCAAAAAATGGAAATTTATAACATTTTTAATAACGTAAGATCTTACGAGAAAAGTCCGTTTTGTTACCTCTCGGTAGATAAAGCAATTCCGATTTTTAAACGTTTAATGAGATATGTTAGAACTCAGCTGAGCACACTTGATCTTATCTTGAAAATGATATACACTTGCAAGGTTAACAAGGATGAAGATGAGTTATATAATGTCTTATCGTACATTATAGATGGAGAGTACATCATAAGTGACTACATTACGTTAGAGGAAGCATTAGAAGCAATGCATCAGATTTTTGTTGTCTGTGAAGTACCATTTGTAAATGAAAGGAATGGCTTTCTTCTGTATTACATGATACAATCGTTTTACACACAGTACAAATATACGTGTAGAGGATTGATCATGGATATGTTGCATTTCAGATTTATTAAAAATATGCCAATCGCTGATTTAATTAATATGTTGATAGATGTAAAGAATGAAAATACATATTATTTCATAAAGTTCAATATGTTTAAATATAATGCACAATATGAGAGGCGTTGGCTCATATTTTTTATCAAAAGAACTATAAAGATATATAAAAGATGGCAATCCGTAAGAAATGAACAAGGAAGACATCTGAAAATTGATGTAAAATATTCTGCTGTATATCAATTGCTCATGGCAATATCTGATTTCAATGAAAGATGCAATAATTCACGTACAAGAATGGAGCGTATAGCAATTGAAAATTATCCTGATTTGAT